CAGAATAGTTACAGAATAAGTTACAGAATAAAAACAGGCTGATGCATTGCTTAATGCATCAGTTGCCCTTCCTTGGAGTAACTTTTCCATTTTATCCCAGTATGGAAATCCTGGAGTTCCTGCTCTGCTCAGATCTCGCCTATACCAGCCTGTCTCGGATCTGTACGGTTCCTGGATACTGTCTGCGGCCCTCTATGAAGCCACCTAACTGTGAGCATCACTGCAGTGTGAAGAGGCCAGCCTGCCTCAGATAAGTACGGCTCCTCATTGCCTCACTGGATGCTGTCTGCGGCCCTCTATGAAGCCACCTAACTGTGAGCATCGCTGCAGCGTGAAGAGGCCAGCCTGCCTCGGATCAGTACGGTTCCTCATCACATTCACTTGATGCTGTCTGCGGCCCTCTATGAAGCCACCTAACTGTGAGCATTGCTGCAGCACGGAGAGGCAAGCCTGCCTCAGATCAATATAGCTCCTCATTGCCTCACTGGATGTTGTCCGCGGTCCTCTATGAAGCCACCTAACTGTGAGCATCGCTGCAGCACGGAGAGGCCAGCCTGCCTCAGATCAGTACGGCTCCTCATTGCCTCACTGGATGTTGTCCACGGCCCTCTATGAAGCCACCTAACTGTGAGCATCGCTGCAGCACGGAGGGGCCAGCCTGCCTTGGATCAGTACGGGTCCTCATTCCCTCACTGGATGTTGTCTGCGGTCCTCTATGAAGCCACCTAACTGTGAGCATCACTGCAGCGCAGAGAGGCCAGCCTGACTCGGATCAGTATGGCTCCTCATCGCCTCACTGGATGCTGTCCGTGGCCCCCTATTAAGCCACCTAACTGTGAGCATCACTGCAGCGCAGAGAGGCCAGCCTGCCTCGGATCAGTATGGCTCCTCATCGCCTCACTGGATGCTGTCCCTGGCCCCCTATGAAGCCACCTAACTGTGAGCATCGCTGCAGTGCAAAGAGGCCAGCCTACCTCGGATCAGTACGGCTCCTCATCACAATAGGCTAATGTGACAAAGTGGGGAGAAAGAACCCAGATTCTCACAGTAGGACACCCTTCGCTTCTAGCTGTTGCCATCGGGGGGGCTGGCATTTTATTTAATCTTTATGCAACTTAAAATAGCTTAAAATCTTAAAAGCTGACAGATGAGACAAAGCAGTTTGAAAGCTACACAACTGTGTATGGACTATGCATTGCAATTGCTAAAAAAAATCGTTTCAAAGAATATGATTTTGGCATATATGCAGGCATAGTATAATGAAATGTAAAGAAAAAACTATTTTTAAGCCATTTAAAAATTTCATGTAGTTCGATTTTAAACTTGTTTGGAAAGAAAGACAAGGTAACTATACTAATTATCTTTGTCAGAATGGATTTTTATGTAATTCACTTTCAAAGTGAAAAAGGGCGGCACTGGTACAGACTAAATGTAACATGAAACATCTCAGCACGTCTTATTTTGAAATCTTAACATATTTTTGTTGGTAGTAAAATAAATGTCCTGTTAAAAAAAGAAAGAACCAGAAATATCATACAGTTTCCATTAGTTTTTCCATACATTTGAGCCATTTTCTCTGTGTTGGTATATGTATGTGTGGAAAAGGGACACAAGAGCCACATGCATCACAAATGAGTTAAACTAAGTACTATGTACTATGAAGCCCTAAATAACTACATGGACAAACACTTTAACTTCTCAGATTTCTTGAAGATCTTGTTATTTTTCAACAAGCAAGGAACTGTTCTTATACAAAGAAAGGAAATAATATTAAAAGGAGGCTAATTAAAGTTCACGAAGCACATCAAGACCAAAGCCAAAACAGGACTAATACACACGCATGTTAACCTTCCAGAAGTAAAACACTGAGTGAGGCCCGGCCTGCGTCTGGGCGTCAGCCATGACACGAGAAAGATAAATAAGGATTAGAGCTTCTATCCCAAAGTATCACCGTGCTCTGAAAAAAAAAACAGTATCCATTGTCCAAAAATAATAATGGGTGGAAACTAAAGGAGATCCATCCTGGGAATGAGTGTTTTTGGAGCACGAAGCAACCAAGAACATTTAATTCCAAGGCCTCCTGTAGTTTTTTGTGACCAGCTGTTAGAATATATATTATCATTTTAAAGTGAAGTGCAGATACTGTAGCAACTGTTATGCAGAGCAGAGAGAAAAAAGCAAATCCAGTGATTTCAGACAGCATAATATTTCACAATAAGACAATGAATACATCAGTCACAACAGGAACCTTCAGATGGGAAAATGCATTCTTAAAAACTGACATACTAAAAAGCATTAATGATTATTATAAACCTCTTATTTAATAATCAGTACTTAAAATGAATACTCTTCTAAATAGAATTCATATATAGATTATGTGAAAGATTGTCAAAATAGTGTTGAACCAAAGTAATATAATTTTTAACATTTTTCCCATCTTCCTTCACTCACCAAATGCCTCATGCTACATACATGCTTATTTAATGCAGGGTTACAAGGAGGCTGGGTTCTATCACAGGCCCCAAAGGGCCAGCCGCAGACAGGATGTCAGTCTGTAACTGGACAGGCGCGCTGAGGGGAATGTAACGTCAGCAGTCAACGGGCCTTCGGATACCCGTGCAAACGGCACAGTCACAGTGCAGCAGGGTTAGGGACGTATGCAGTGCAGCAGGGTTAGGGACGTATGCAGTGCAGCAGGATTAGGGACGGATGCAGTGCAGCAGGGTTAGGGACGTATGCAGTGCAGCAGGGTTAGGGACGTATGCAGTGCAGTAGGGTTAGGGACGGACACAGTGCAGCAGGGTTAGGGACGGATGCAGTGCAGCAGGGTTAGGAACGGACACAGTGCAGCAGGGTTAGGGACAGACGCAGTGCAGCAGGGTTAGGGACGGACGCCTCGTCGCATGCAGAGTGCATAGTGCACAGTGCTGCAATAATTATAACACATTCTATACTGAAAGAACCGGAAAGGAAATGCATGCATAGCCAGTAGCAGTATGTTTAACTACAGTGTCTAAGGACCGGCGTGAGATCCATGTCGTTCAAACAGCAGAGCCACCTGAGGATGAGCCCAAGGCATTGGGTTACATGCTTCATGATAGGGGGATCACAAGACGAGAGGGTAATTACATATGAACTGGGGGCCAACATCACCGTCCTTTAGACAGGCCTTTCGATAGCAACTAACTCACAGCTGTAATAATAATAATAATAATAATAATAATAATAATAATAATAATAATATCCCAGGTATACCCCATCATCATGCCCTGTGCTGCCAGGAATAACAACCCAGTCCAATATAAGGTATACGGTTAGATAATAATACAATTAACTGCATTAAAATAACAAGTTCCAAAGTTAATCTTACTATAATACCTGTTGCAATTAAGCAATTTGTGATGCCTTTTAAGTGTAATAAATGAAATCCTAATTAAATTTATATCAATACACCAGTGATGAAGAAATGTATAATGCCAACATAAGCATATTAAATTAAAATGTGACATGAATGCAAGTTTTTTTAGGGTAACACTTTTTCACTTTCCCTCTTCCATCATCCTATTTACTTTACGCCTTTATTCCTTTTGGTCTAAACTCTAAAGAGAAAAAATATACCATATATACCCTAAATCCTCAAAAAAATGGAATTGCATCTCTCTTAATAATATAACATCTTCAAGACCATCTCACTTGGCTTTATTTTGCCTAAAATGTGAGAAAGAAAGAAAGAAAGAAAGAAAGAAAGAAAGAAAGAAAGAAAGAAAGAAAGAAAGAAAGAAAGAAAGAAAGAAAGAGAATGTCTGGACCAAGTGCAGTAAAACTTAATTTATCCTCAGGAATATTTCAGCCATATACATTTACGCCAGGATCTATATTTGCTTCACATTGGTTTCATCAGTTGAAATGCTATGAAGTTACCAAATTAAATCAACAGCTAGAACACGGTAAACATCATATTTTCTTTATGAATCTAAAAATATAGACACTGTGCTTTATTAGTTTATATTAACAAATGTTACAGCAATAGACAATTAAGGCCGGATTGAACATGTACTTTTCAATGTTTCTAAATAATTCTTAATACTATATAGTATATTAATAAGGCTGCATAAAATGCATGTCTTAGCGTCAGTAAAATATTTTACATTAGTAATAATATTAAACTATTTTATTACCTCAGCGGTTTACTTATTCACGCTGTTAATGTTGATAAAATAAGATTAGTTTCCTACATATAAATCATGAATGAGTAGAAAAGCGGTGTTCGTTTGCTTCGCGTTACATTAGGTTTTTAGCGGTTAAAAAGTAAGTGAATGAACAATGAATGAATGAATCAATGTATGGACTGCAATTAGAAATAATCAGAGAAAAGTAAGTGTCCAACGCGGTGGATATGCGCAGCGTAACTGGGTGGATAGGCGTGCGTGCGTCTCTCAAATCTCTTACTGGTGTGCCACATGATCCAGCTCCCTACAGCACCTTATATAGCAACAATGGTCCTAGTAGTAACTGGCCAATAACTGAGCAAAATACTATTCACACCTTCTATTAAATGCAGGGATTGACTACTTTGCATTGAGACGTTTGGTAAAAAAAAAAATCATAAGACTGAACGTAATCTACAGATGCGAAGCACATCGCCACTCCGTCAACACGTAGGCTACTCCACATACGCGTTAGCAGCTATAACCTTTAACACTCAGAAGGCACCATCTAGTGACAGTAAAAAAAAGGTTACCTGACCCCCAGCCACCCAGCCATCCACCCCGCCCCCTTCGCATTCCCCAAATCCCATCCACATCCCTCTACATCCCGTGTGGTTGTTTATTTAAAATTCACAGGGTTCAGCCTCAAGTCAGCAATTCAACGCTAAAACGCCAAGTCGTCACAATACACTGCGCTTTTTAGCGAAGAAAATCGGACTAACCAGCAATGGCAAACCACAGTAAATGTGATCTGTTCTCTTGCATCTGCTTTGCATGTTTATGAACAGGTACCTGCTGTTCCACCGTTCGGATCTGCTTCCCTTCCTGATGCTGGTTCTCCGGCCACAGACGGCTGCTGGACGAGAAAAGGCTACTTTTGTTGCTGCCGGCCACCGATATGTTCCTCACTGGCGAGTGATTGGGTGGGGGGTTCACGGAGGGCTGGCTACTCCGCAGCCTTTGGGACTGACTTAACTCGCCGGGCTTCCTGTAGTCTTGGTCACAGAGGTGTTGCCAGTGCGCGCCTTCTTGCTGTTGCTGCAGCAATAGCGGCTGCTGTCTCCTACTCGCCTCACCGGATCCGTTGGCGCAGCAGTTGTTGAGGAAGCTGCTCCCGACCAGCCGCTGATACTGCACCTGCAATTGTGGTGGCTGTTGCTGCTGCAGGTCCTGAGGCTGAAACAGAAACAATCGCTGATTTACATCGCTAGGCTCACATACATTTACGTCCAGCGCCTGGTGCGTGCTCTGTGTCACCGAGCTGCAGGATGGACTCTGTGGATTCTGCTCTTCTAGCTTGAAATCGTTATACGGCTGCCGCTGTTGCTGCAACAACTGGTTATTCTCTGACAGCCCTCCTACTCGTCTGCAGTGGCAGTCGATGTATTCCTGCTGGTAATTAACAGTCTTTTTCAAATTGTCCCCCTTGTTGCTGTTCTGCAAAAACAACAGCGACGACGGCAGCGAAGGGGAGGGCTGCGGGTAAATGTGGGATTGGTGCTGATGAGGATTCACTTCCTTGGAAAAACTGCAGTGGCAGTGCTGAAAGACAGGCTGCTCCGACTGCAGATGAAAGCCGGCGACCCCGGTATTCTGCAGCAAAGAGGCGCTCTGGTGATCAAAACAGACGCCCTGGTTTGGAGCTCGCTGTCTGCATCCGTGGCTGGTGACTGATGATGAGCCGCCGCGTTGCAGTTGAAGTGCGCTGTCTTTCTGGGTGAAAACGCTTGGGCTGGGCAGCTCCTGATGATATAAGGTTGAGGATCGCTGTCTGAGTGGAGGGGGAGGCGGCGGCAGGCTGCAGACTGCGGCGGCTCCACTCGGAGATGCTTTTTGTGAATGAGCTGCACCGCTGTGAGCGTTTCTTTCTCGACTGGGTGTCTGGTGCTGGAAGACAGCTCCCGAGTACTGATGCTGCATCCCCTCTACAGCTTCGCCCTGCTGTAGCGGAACCTTTGCGTTGTAATGATCCACCACCCTTTCATTGCGAGCGGCCCCGGTAGAATCGAGCCGACTTGTCTCATTGGTAGGTTTGACCAGGACCAGCCTCATAACGTCACTGTACAGCTACCAAAAACGCCGCCTTCATGAAAAAAAAAAGATTCTTCCAAACACAGTTTCCTTGAATGAATCAACAAGAAAGACTGAAGTGTCGAGGGCTGGTTGGATAGGTGGCTTTCCAAGAAAGACATCCAGTTCCATTTGCACTTATTTTTTCATCACTGACAAATGGTGAATAAATATCTATCATTGGAAAAACTGGCAACAAGCAACTGAAGCAAATTAGTTCAAATAAACGGATTCAGCTGGTATAAACTCCTATTTCAACTTCGACGTGATTCTTCAGCAGCTGCTGGCGGGAGGGTTGACAGCGTTATACCGGCATCCCGTTCAGTGACCGCGCTGTGCTGCCGAGTGGAAATCCAAGTTGCTGGTTTTATATCGTCAGCCTTCCGCGGTCACACACGGATCTGTAAACAGAGAGGCTAATCAGTCAAAAAGGATCAAGTCCAATGTAAGAAAAGGAAGACGTATTTAGGCGACCTATTAAATGATAAGCATTCGCAATATATGTATTCTGTACAAAATATATGTCGTGCCTATACGGATATTTCTCATGGAATACATTTAATGCAGCCAGATCGCCCAAATTAATGCATAGTATTACGAGTTTAAAATATGAAAGCAGGATGTAAAATTTCTCTGTAACCATGGCCATCGTATGTTTGCACAAATAGTACGGAGTACCGAGAAAGTTAGTTGTCTTACCAAGGAACATTAATCTAAAGATAGTAAATGTCAGTGGAATTTAACGTAACATATACCATTACATCTATCACTAATTGCCACAATTAAATTACATTTTAAAGGGTATACTTATCAGAGAACTGCATATTGACAATTCTACAGCTGATAATGTGGCTTACATCATGAAGTTCCCTTTTCAGATGCAATCCTTTTGCATGTAATAATAGAGACAGAGCACCTCTGACAACTCATGACGATGGTCATCCTTGAGGTACAACTGTGTGGTACGACTTTGATTGAAAACAAAGAAATTAATTAAAATAGTTGGCAGCTGGAATTGCCCCTGCTGCACAATTAATTGCAAGGACATAAATAATAGTATGTGTAATTAGGCCGGGTTGACAGACTTTATTGGTCCCTGAGTCGTTAAGGTTGTCCCTCCGTTATGTGACGGTTGGGTCTTGGAGTGGATCAGCAGCTGCAAAGGACACCAGATCGTTTTCATTAAGTAATTAGTTTCTGCGACCTGTATGGGTCCCTGGTTCAGGTTAAGTATCATTTCCTTGCTGGTTTGGGAAGTGCTGCTGCATTAATTATTCACGGCCCCCAACTGTAGCACCCAGACATATATACACACATCAAATGATAATGACAAGGATTTTCTGTGGAAAAAGAAGATTCCTTGTGGCCTTTTGTGGTTCTGACTGCACAAATAAGCCAGATGCTCCCTCTGAATTACACTTAATGTACTAACTTTGCCTACAGACACTTCTCTGTGTGTCCTTGAGAGAGTTGTGGCCTCCAGCTGATAACGCACATTGCTGATTGTCTGATGGGTGTCTTCTTGGCCTTGCTGTCAGAATTTCACACCCACTCTTTTCATTTTTTATTACCAATGAAACAGAATTCTACAGGTTTTGTAATCATTTGTACCTGTGTGTGCCTTTTACCTTTATCTATTTAAAACTGAAGCAGAAAAAGCTTTTTCCATCACATATGTTCTACTTCTGTATTATTAAATTTTAGTGGTTATGCATTTTGCGACCTTTTCGTTCCTACCCGGTACGTCACACTCAGAAGGAGGAGCAGTAATATAGAAAAGGCTGCTAATACACAAAGAAACACATTTTTTTATGTATACAAAACTAACATTATATCAGTTACATTCCTAATGAAAATGTCGTATGGTTGCAATGATTAATAACTATCAGAACTATGAACAGCACCATAAGTGTAGTGAAATCTAATGTTTAGCATGAAGTATACATCAGATTTAATGCAGATTGTTTTTACAAGCAGGATTCTTTTTTTTTTTTGGAATTTAAACAAAATTGTAAATACTGCATCAAAGTTTATAGTCATCAGTTTTCCAAAAATCATTGGTGCTAAAATTAATCTGGACATTGCGAAAATGTTACCTAGGAACTGTAGGAACCTGCCAAGTACCAAATGTGATTGCAAGCAAAATGCAACTTGAAACAAATTAAATTAGCACTATTTTTGATGATCTTGCTACAGTTAACAAGAAACAAGATATAACCAAATTTTCCCTGAGTTCCCCATTAAGGTAGACAGATCTTATACAGTATAACATCCCACATTGCTTTCTTATTGATACTGATTATATGATTATGATAAATATGATTGACATACATATTTACTGCAGAGTGTGTTGTGGTGCTCAGCAGGACAAGCCGTACACTGATCAAACATAAGAGAAGCTTTGTGGGCATTTATGGGATGTTATATGTGATGATGTCCAACGACCTGCAGGATCTAAATATTTCTGTGGCCTAAAACTCTGGTAGAACGATACAACCACAAGATCACAGACGTCGAACACTGAAGAAGAGAGTAAATGCTCCCTGAATTATAATGATTTTACCTTGTTAGTACCTGACTGGATCTGTTTACCTCAGCTGCCACTTTAGTTAAGTTACCCCAGGTTACATCTGGTTACCCCTGGTTACCTCTGGTTACCCCTGGTTACCCCTGGTTACCCCTGGTTACCCCTGGTTACCTCTGGTTCATTCTCTCACTATGGCTTCCTATTCCCTGCTTTCGTACTGAGACACATTTGGCTAATATGGCCAGTAATACAATATGAAATCTTATTGAAATCTTTTTTTTTTTAAAAATTTTGCCTTGGGGGCAGTGTGCAGCTCAGCGAGTTAGGACTCCCTGCCCATGATCACCACTTAATCCCTGAGGTCGACAGACAGTTGCTGCTGCCGGGCCCCTGAGTACGGCCCTTGAGCCCCTGCTCCACCCTGTGGTCGACCCTGTGCTGTGACCCCCAGGCTTACTTCACCTGTATCACCTGTATCTGTGTCTCCTGGAGAGCTTGATGGAGTTGGCGAAAATGGAATGAATACAGTGTCACTATTCTATAAAAGAATGCATACAAATTGAGTCACTTCATTGTTGTTCTATAAAGATATTGGTCATTCTCCATCCTGTTTATATTATTTAAACCTTGAGAAAAGTAAAATCACCAAAATATCTGCTAATATACACCGTTCAGCCATAACATTATAACCACATGCCTGATATTCTGTAGGTCCCCCTCATGCTGCCAAAACAGCTCTGACCCGTCGAGGCCTGGACTCCACAAGACCTCTGAAGGTGTCCTGTGGTATCTGGCACCAAGGCGTTAGCAGCAGATCCGTTAAGTCCTGTAAGTGTTCAGGTGGGTCCTCCATGGATCGGACTTGTTTGTCCAGCACATCCCACAGATGCCTCATCTGACTGAGATCTGGGGAATTTGGGGACCAAGTCAACACCTCAAACTGTTCTTCATGCTCCTCAAACCATTCCTGAATAATTTTTGCAGTGTGGCAGGAAGAATTATCCTGCTGAAGAGGCCACTGCTATCGGGGAATCCCATTGCCATGAAGGGGTGTACTTGGTCTGCAGTAACGTTTAGGTAGGTGGCATGTAGCAGAGTTACACCCACATGAATGCCAGGACCCAAGGTCTCCCAGCAGAACATTGCCCAGAGCATCACACTGCCTCCGCCGGCTTGCCTTCTTCCCATAGTGCATCCTGGTGCCATCTTTTCCCCTGCTAAATGACACACACACACCCAACCGTCCACATGATGTAACAGGAAACGTGACTCCTCAGACCAGGACACCTTCTTCCATTGCTGTGCTCCAGTTCTGACACATGCCCATTGTAGGTACTTTTGGCGGTGGACGGGGCAGCCTGGGCACTCTGACTGGTCTGACTGGTCTGAGGCTACACAGCCCCATACGCAGCAAGCTGCACTGTGTGCTCTATCATGGCCAGCATTAACCTTTCCAACAGTATCTGCTGCAGTAGATCTCATGTGGGATCAGACCAGACAGGCTGGTCTTTGCTCCCCACACACACCAGTGAGCCTTGGGCGCCCATGACCCCATCGCCGGTTCACTGGTTGACCTTCCTTCGACCACATTTTGGTTGGTACTGACCACTGTATACCAGGAACACCCCACAAGACCTGCCGCTTTGGAGATGCTCTGACCCAGTCGCCTGACCATCACACTTTGGCCCATGTCAGTCTCTCAGATCCTTACACATATTTTTTGCTTCAAACACACCAACTTCAAGAACTGATTGTTCACTTGCCTAATATATAATGTCATATAACTATCATTGTACGGAGATAATCAATGTTATTCATTTCACATGTTAGTAGCTTTAATATTATGGCTGACCAGTGAACATATTTAGTGCCGAGAAAATGTCTGTAACAATTTTTACGGTAACCACTGCAGCAACTTTTACTATGATGTATTCATATTCAAAGATGATGCGCACTGTTCTAAAGTAATAGTACTTTAAATTAAATAATAATACATTTAATTAATATCACTTTAAATCATTGTATTTAATCAATAAACATATAAATCATTTTTAAATCCATTAATTGGCTTGTAATTGTCGTCCCTGTTAGATTATGTACGATTATTCCAAATCAATAAAATTGTCACATTATGTTTACATGAAGAATATATGTTACACTTTATTATCCAACATTTTATGCCAAGCCATTACAAAATTAATTCAATAAGGAATTGCTTGGTAACCAGTGCCCAAGAAATCGAAATATATAATTTTTGCCCTTTCATTTGCTAATAGAATGAAAAAGAAATCAATTTGCCAAGACAATCTATGTCTAGATATTAAAATATACCAAAAAGTGACTTGTTCTTGACATACCTGTTTTTGCTTTAATGCAATGAAACATAATTTTATTTTTAATGCACAGGCTGCCCAACATAAT